AGCACATCTAAATTATGTTAAAGTAACCAAAATGTCTTTACAATCCTCAAGGCATGTCACAACTTGGAAATTGAAAGTTAAAAAATTTGACATGTCCTATCAGTATATGTGTGTGTGTGTGTGTGTGTGTATGTGTGTGCAAATATATATGTTTATATATGTACTGCATATATACATACACTTTTTGTGTGGATGTGTGTCCCTATGCACACACTTGTATATGTGAGCAGATGACTTGTGGAAGGCTGATTGGCCCTACCAGAGGTGGGTGCCATAGACAGCAAACTTAGGTTCTATAAAAAGAGCTGTTGAAAGTTGTTATATTTTTATTGCTAGATTTGGGGTAAAGACTCCATTTGCAGAAGTTAAGGCACCAGGCTAGAAACCAGGAGACCATAAGTTCTAATCGTTCCTTAGGCACAAAACAAACTGGATTACCTCAGGCCAGTCACACCCTCTCAGTCCTAGAAAGGAAGCAATGGCAAACCACTTCTAAAATCTTAACAAGAAAACTGCAGGGTCCTGTCCAGGTGTCACCTGGAGTCAAGACTTATTCAAAGGCAAAAGAGGGAGGTGGTACAGTAAAAGCCTTGACAATATGTATTTAAACCTTGTGCTTTGATATGCTAATCAATAGGCTAATCAATAAAGCTACCATCAATAAAGCTACCATCATCAAAAGCCTTGTTGTCGATCCTGAAGATGACATACGGTGCATCTAGATAGATACAGTTATTTAGACTTATACATAGATAATCTTTATTTTACTCTATGTTCACTATACACCTTGAATTAAATTATATTTAACATTTTTCTTAAAGAATATGTCTGCATAGATTCTGTACTTCTAAAAGATATTGGTAGTAATGTCTCATTTTAGAAACAGTTTTCCTCTTTTATTTCTTCTGTTTTCATATTCAGGCATCAAAGAGAAATGAAGACCTTGATCTTTAACCACTCAAATAACTGTTAAAGTCAGGTAAATTAATTTTACTTTACAATAATGCACACAGGAATAGCCTGACACAATGATATTGGGTCAAACTGATATTAGTTGTTCCACACTGATTAACAGGGAGAAAAGAACCTCTTTTTAAAGGCTCCCTTTAAAAAAATCAGAACTGTTCAGCCTATATTCTCTTTCCTTGTTAAAACTGTTATTTCTAGAGAGGGCCAATCACATGCTTCAGCAACGATAGAGCTTCCAAGTAAATGCCTTCCTTTCACTGTAATCTTAAGAGGTAAAGGACCCATCATATTAGGCATGCTTTTTAAAAAGGCTTACTGAAATCCCACATTTTTATTTTGAAGAAAAAGAAATCTGTAGCATTAGATCAGCCCCCAAGAACACTTTCCAGTCAATCTTTTCTCATATTGTTCGCAGTTTCCTTAAGCTGTTGCAGTTCTGGATTTTAATACTACAATAATCTTGCTTGTATCATTGAACTGTAACAGAGAATTTTGTTTCAGAATACAGTATGGACAAAGCTGTGGTGAAAAGTGTTTTCCAGTATATAGTAACAGAAGCAATGCTTTTAGCGTATGCTACCAGGCTGGTAATGTCAATATTTAGCTGCCAGACAGCTAATATATTGCTGCATACAGAGTAATTCTGCTTCTGTATGTGCAACTAAATGCATGTAGAGAGAATTTATGATGGAGTCATCCATATTGGAAGCATGAAGGAAATAACTGGGAATAGCAAGGGGAAAAACACTTTTGAGATGGATGTTGTGCATTAACTCTAAATGTAAAAGGAATGAGTAACACCAATCTCAGGGATGGTATAAAATGATTTGAATATGTTTGAAGAATGCTCCAGTGTAATTAAGGGCACATATAATGTCATATTACTATTAAAACATCAGTAGTGGAG